ATCGCTGATGATATCCACGAAGTCGTGCAGCGGCAGCATGTTGAACTGTGACAGCAAATGACACACAGCAACACACACACACACACACACACACACACACACACACACACACACACACACACACACACACACACACACACACACACACACACACACACACACACACACACACACACACACACACACACACACACACACACACACACACACACACACACACACACACACACACACACACACACACACACACACACACACACACACACACACACACACACACACACACACACACACACACACACACACACACACACACACACACACACACACACACACACACACACACACACACACACACACACACACACACACACACACACACACACACACACACACACACACACACACACACACACACACACACACACACACACACACACACACACACACACACACACACACACACACACACACACACACACACACACACACACACACACACACACACACACACACACACACACACACACACACACACACACACACACACACACACACACACACACACACACACACACACACACACACACACACACACACACACACACACACACACACACACACACACACACACACACACACACACACACACACACACACACACACACACACACACACACACACACACACACACACACACACACACACACACACACACACACACACACACACACACACACACACACACACACACACACACACACACACACACACACACACACACACACACACACACACACACACACACACACACACACACACACACACACACACACACACACACACACACACACACACACACACACACACACACACACACACACACACACACACACACACACACACACACACACACACACACACACACACACACACACACACACACACACACACACAGGAACATCATCTACTGATAACCATGACACATGACTGTAACCAAGGAGTCGTCCAATCAGAGACATTCTAGAGCAGGGAGGATTGACCCGTCACGCGTATTGCATGTCCTCTATTGTGGCCAAGACGCTGTTCTACGGACTGCAGCCAAGGTACCATATTCTCTGGAGTGCAAGCCACACTGGAGTGTAAGCCGCACTGGAGTATAAGCTACACTGGAGTATAAGCCCCACTGGAGTATAAGCCGCACTGGAGTATACGCCACACTGGAGTATAAGCCACACTGGAGTATAAGCCACACTGGAGTATACGCCACACTGGAGTATAAGCCACACTGGAGTATAAGCCACACTGGAGTATACGCCACACTGGAGTATACGCCACACTGGAGTATACGCCACACTGGAGTATAAGCCACACTGGAGTATAAGCCACACTGGAGTATAAGCCACACTGGAGTATACGCCACACTGGAGTATAAGCCACACTGGAGTATAAGCCACACTGGAGTATAAGCCACACTGGAGTATACGCCACAAATGGAGTATACGCCACACTGGAGTATAAGCCACACTGGAGTATAAGCCACACTGGAGTATAAGCCACACTGGAGTATAAGCCACACTGGAGTATAAGCCACACTGGAGTATACGCCACACTGGAGTATACGCCACACTGGAGTATAAGCCACACTGGAGTATAAGCCACACTGGAGTATAAGCCACACTGGAGTATAAGCCGCACTGGAGTATAAGCCACACTGGAGTATAAGCCACACTGGAGCATGAGCCACACTGGAGTATAAGCCACACTGGAGTATAAGCCCCCCCCCCCCCCCTTTTGCCACGAAATACAGACATCTTTCCTATTTTATCAAAGTTAATTTGATCATCGGAGTATAAGCTGCACCCCCTTTTCTTGAGTGAGTTTCGAGTGTTCAAAGTGCGGCTTATACACGGGAAAATACGACAATCAATGAGCATCATCCAGCTACAGCACAGCAGCAGTGTGAGTGAGCATGAGCAGCAGAGTGGAGGACAGTAGGCGAGAGTTACAATGTAGAGCAGTGCACATACCGTTCCGATGAAATGTTCCAAGAGTTCCTTCTCCTCCTTGCTACGCACCTGTGTCACGCTGCACACAGCACGCATGCACAAACACATGACCACGCATACATTCATTACACACACATACATAGTACACACACACACACACACACACACACACACACACACACACACACACACACACACACACACACACACACACACACACACACACACACACACGCATACACACACACACGCATACACACACGCACACACACACGCACACACACATACGCACGCACATAGGTGATCAAATAGTGAGCCATTCTCTAAATCTAGCTCTCCTATGCAAGTAACCCAGTGCATTGTGCACAAGATAACAACGTGCCCAGCGAACTATCTCTACCGTATTCATGCGCATAAAACGGCATGCACTTACGATTACTAGGGCACCTCCACATATAAAGGAAAGAACAAAAACCTCAAGAGGCAAGAGT